AATGCGTGTCGTAATCTATATATATATATATTGATTGCCCGAATAATAATTTTTCTATTAATTACAATAACTATACCTGCATATCATTGGTTTTGGGTTCTCATGGAAATGAGGGATTCGATATAAATCTAACAAGAGAGTTATAAAATATAACATTAAGATTCCAGTTGAATGAAAAAAATTTAAATTGGTTGTAATTGATTCACTAGTTCTTAAATGAAACAAGAATATTATACCATTTTTAAAGCACAGAAAGACAAAAATGCTTGCTAGATGTACTTGAAAAATATTCTACAATGGGTACTTGTACTCTAGTATTTTCATGTATTACCTCTTATTATGGCTTGAAAGTCTTAGAGATGCTCATTTTCAGCTCCTGGATCGTGCATTTTCTGATCATATGACCAATGGCTTTGACAAAGTTATATTTTATTTCCTTAGTTAGTAATAAGGAGATAACCATGGCCAGTTGATCATTTTCAAAGAGATATTCTTGTAGGAAAATTTCTCACCCTCTGAAATATACTAAATGCATGCAAATTATTAACAATGTTATCCATGAAAAAGTGAATTGAAAAGTCTATTTTTGATGTTATGTTTTATCCTTTATTCTATGTTTTTATGGAACAGAGTATGAGGAGAAAGATTGAGCTTGTTGAAGACAAAAGTATAGTCTAATAGGATAGCCTAATGGTTTGAGAAATTTTTGATAAAAAATTTTGCATACAACCTTCAATATGATGTCCTCTCAGAGAACTTTATATCCAAAAAAAAAAGAAAAATCTGCCTCAACACACATGCTTTGGCCACACAATCTTTTTTATTCTTGATACCATGTATCCCTCAATATCCAAATAAATTAATTTTGAAGAATTTCATTATAATTGTTTTGAACTAGCAAAATACAAATATTTCAATTTTCTAATGAGTGATACAAGCATCCTTTTTCCTTTTTCTATCATTTATAATGATAGCTAGGGATTATCCTCTATTTCGTTTTTATTCTTTATTAGTGATTGCAAACATATGTCATGAATCTTTTACTAAAAGGCAATAGTGATGTAAGTGTCATATTTTATCGTTTTCTGCAACGAAATTAAAATTAATGTGGTAATGGATTTAAAAGAATGAAATGACGAAGCTAAGTATTACTTCAACAGTTCTCTTGTTATGCTTTAAAGACAAAGTAATAATCTATGAATTCTCTTGTATGGATACACCTCTATAAAGTGGAGTAGTCAATTGAAAGAATGACTACATGCTTGCTACCCTAGTGGCTTTTTTCTTAGAAAATTGATACAAACCGGAACAAAAAATGAACGAACAACGAAGAAATTGCAAGTGTGATAGGGGAACTCAAATGAGGACTAATTTTATTAATATCATTGAAGCAAATAAGATACGATGTTGATCTACAGTTCGAGAGGTAGAAGTTGTTAGGAACACCAATACAACAACAACAACAACAATAACAACAAAGCCTTAATCCCACTACATGGAGTCGACTACATGAATCATTTTTCTCCATTGCGTCCTATTTAGTGTCATTTGTTCACCTAGTTCTAATAAATTAAGATCATTTTTTATAAAATAAGCCCAAGTCTTTCTAGGTCTACCTCTGCCTTTTTTAACATAAGTCGAATCTAAAACATCTATTATCCTAATCAGATCATCAGATGGTCGACGCTTAATGTGACCAAGCCATCTAAGACGACTTTCTTTAATTTTGTCCGTCACGGGAGCTACACCAACTCTATCACTGATATATTCATTTTGCATTTTGTCTCTAAGTGTAAAGCCACTCATCCACCGAATCATTGTCATCTCGGCAAAACTTAACTTAGTATTATGCTTCTCTTTTAAAAGGCCAACATTCAGCGCCATAGAGCATTGAAGGTCTCACCACCGTCTTATAGAATTTTCCTTTCAGTCTAAGCGATACTTTTTTATCACACAAAAGGCCCGAAACATTCCTCCACTTCAACCAACCAACTTGAATTCTACTATTAACATCTCCATTTATATCACCATTGCTTTGAACAGACCCGAGATATCTAAATCGTTCACACCTTTTAATAATTTAATCACCCAAAGTTACACTTCTGTCACTAGAGCTACTACTACTAAAATTAT